CGGGAGCAGAGCGTGTCCTTTGGACCTGAGGTTCCTGCGCTGAGATGCTCCCAGACCAAGGAAAGACTGACGCATCACAAGGACTTTCCTCCAGAGCCGACAGAGAGAGAAAGCCTTCTCCTGGAGCTGATGCCCTGAACTTGGACTTGTAGCCTACCGGACTGTGAGAGAATGAACTTCTCTTTGTTGAAAGCCATCCACTTGTGGTATTCCTCTTAGTGCAGTGCTAGATGACTAAGACAGTTAGTTTGACATAAATTAGGAATTTCATCTTGACCTTCCCATCCTTGGCCCCCACAGGGGATGGGCTGCTGTGAATGTTTAGAGTTCAAGAAGTGTTTAAAAAAAAAAAAAAAACAGTTGCCATTGAGTCGATTTAGGCTCATGGTGACTACATGTGTGTCAGAGTAGAACTGTGCTCCATAGGGTTTGCCCACATGTAGTGCAAGTGGTTTTGACACTAGGCTGCTAACTCAAGATTGACGATTTGAGTCCATCAGAGGCACCTTAGAAGAAAGACCTGTTGATCTACTTTTGAAGCAGCAACTATTGAAAAACCCTATAGAGTACAGTTCTACTCCAACGCATACATGATCACCACGAGTCACAATGAACTCAATGGCAACTGGGTTTCAAGGTGAGAAGGGTGACTTATTTAAAAGGCTCAGTGGGCAGGCATTAGCTCCTGAAATGGGACAAGAATTCAGAACACCTGTCGTATTCATAGTACTGACTTGCTATCACTAAATGCGAGGCCTGGGTAAATCACTTAACTTCGAACGTTTCCTCAAATTTGTAAAATGAGGATAATTATTCTATCTTACATATCTTACTTCTAAATTACAAACTTATGATTATTGATAAAAATAAATAGAAAAAGATATACTAGGCAAATGCTAACAAACAAAAAAAAGCACATGTGAACAACTGAATATCCACTTGCAAAATAATGAAATTGGACGTCTACCTCACACCATACCAAAAAATTAACTGAAAATGAATCATAGACCTAAATAGATGAGCTAAAACTATAAAACTTTTAGAAGAAAACAGGTGTAAATCTTCATCACCTTAGGTTAGACCATGGTTTCCTGAATACAATACCAAACGTACAAGCAACAGAAGAAAAAATAGATAATACTGCACCACATCAAAATTTAAAACTTTTGTGCTGCAAATGATGACATCAAAAAGGTGAAAATATGACCCAAAGAATGGGAGAAAATATCTGCAAATTTAAATCTGATAAGGGACTTGTATCCAGAATATATAAAGAACTCTTACAACTCAATAATAAAAAAAATAGCACCTAACAACAACAACAAAGCTTTTAAAAAATAAAAAGCTAGAAATAGAAATAACATTGCTATGGTTGTTGTTGGGCGCCATCAAGTCGGTTCCAACTCATAGCGACCCTAATGAATGAAACACTGCCTGGTCCTGCACCAACCTCACAATCATTGCTATGACTGAGCTCATTGTTACAGCCACTGTGTCAATCCATCTTGTTGAAGGTCTTCCTCTTTTTGGTTGACCCTCAACTTTACCAAGCATGATGTCCTTCTCCAGGGATTGGTCCCTCCTGATAACATGTTGAAAGTATACGACACAAAGTCTCGCCATCCTCGCCTCCAAAGATCATTCTGGCTGTATTTCTTCCAAGACGGATTTGTTTGTATTTCTGGCAATCCATGGTATACTCACTATTCTTTACCAACACCATAATTCAAAGGCATCAATTATTCTTCTGTCTTCCTTATTCATTGTCCAGCTTTCGCACGCATATGAGGTGATTGAAAATACCATGACATGGGTCAGGCGCAACTTAGT